CAGTGTCACTGGCCCTCATATGTGGGATCCGAACCGGGGCCCTCTGGCGTCCCAAGCCAGCTCTTAACCATCGCACCACTCGGCCGGCCCCCAATGCTGTCATTTTTATAACCGCTGCCCATGTGGTGCAATTACTCTGGTTTCTGAAACAGGTTCTGATGTAGTGCCCTCTGCTTGTGGTTATTTCTTTGTTCTGTGCTCTTTAGGCTTACTTTGGAGTTTCTATTCTAACTTGCTAAAGGCTTGACCACTGATTGATGGCCTCATGTCCCTCCATTCAGTGCCAGGCCTTCCAGGTAGGCGCCTGTCCTGTGCCCTTCTGACACAGCCCCGTGAAGCTTTAGTACTTTCTTGCTTCCTGGCACAAAGAGATGTCAGGGTTCACCTTTGATTTCTCAGTCTCAGACCTGGCATCCGCCATTTCCCTAGGGGACCCTGGTTACTTTTGTGGAAAATTCCAAATTAAAAAAAAAATTATTGGGGTGGCATTTGTTAATGAAATTCTGCAGGTTTCCAGTGTACAATTCTATAATACCTCATCTCTATATTGCATTATATGTTCACCACCCAGAGTCAGTTCTCCTTCCGTCACCATATATTTGACCCCCTTTACCTTCATCTACCTCTTCTCCACACCCCTTTCCCTCTGGTAACTGCTGTATCATTATCCGAAATTTCAATTTTTCAAAAGTATTATCCTTACTTAAATTATTCCACCTGATTTGCATCTAGATCTCTGCCTTAGCCTCTTTTATTGAGATGCATGAAATGGAAAAGTACACCGAAGTTGCACATAGCAGTCTTTACTGTTTATCTAACATTAGTCACGAGTGTGTGAATTAGGGTTTGGGATATGGTTTATTAGCACTATTATTCTTTAACATTTGAACATGCTAGGCTGTCCTGTTAAGCACTGTTAAATTAATTTTGACTGGTGTAAAAGGTTTGGCTATTAAACCTTCTTGGATCTAAAAATGTTCCTGGGTTCTGTTGGTGACACATAGTGATTAAGCTCATTGATCACGCAGCTGTGTTCTCATGTGAAAATAGTAAGTTGTGATTCTGTCACTAAGTGACTGCAGTGACACAGGCAGTTCATGTAGCCTCTTCAAGGCTCATTTTGATTTTCTGTAAAATGGGTATCTCATCGGCATGCCACAGAACTGAATGCATGATAGACAACAACACACAGTGTTTGGCCTAAAGCAGGCATTCATGTTTTAGCTGAACATCTTTCACTGTAGCTGCGGGTCTTGGTTTCAAGAGGCGTTAGCCATCTCTGCAGACAACTCTGGCACAACATAGAATATGGTTAAGTCCTCAGGAAAGAGTTCATAAAGGTTTTGAGGATGTCACGATGACTGATCAAAATAGGGGCTGTGAGAGAGCTCTTTGCATAGTAGCATGGGGGGCACAGAACTAGCCCGTATTCAAAAGAACGAGCAGCGCTTGAGCATTTAACAGTTAGTAACTGTGTGTGTACATTTTCTTGAGGTATCACCTGCCGGTGCATGTTCTTGGCCACCATGCTGTGAGTCCCTACGCCATGGTTTTGCCGTTATCTGCTGATTGTTTGGCCTTGAAGCCGGTCTCAGATATGCTGAGAATAGCTTGGAACCTGTCGTGGTATCACGGGTGCGATAACCTATTGAAGCAAATGAACTCCGAAACGAAGATGCAAGAGTAAGCTGTTACATAGAGCTGAAAAAGCTTTCCCACTGAACTGCTTATAACGCGTTAGTTAGGTTTTATTTCTCCTTTAGGTCAAGCAGTTTTGTTTTTTTTACGTATCTGATTCTGCTTTTGCCCTGAAGACTATAATTTTTACTTTGTTTTAAAGATTACATGTGTATATGTGTTCATTACTTTTTAAAAACTATCACACAAGGAAATTAAAAAGCATAGATTCCCTCTGCTGTCTTTGAGATTATATAAAGTTTGGTTAGTTAATAGATGTAAATCACTAGGAACAGTGCTTTGGATTAGAGTAGAAGGTCAGTAACTATATGTATGAATGTTATCATGACTGTGATGATGACGGTGATACTTCTGAATAGCTTAATATTTTGATCTGTCAGTGCTTTCTCCTTTGAATGAAAATTTTATTTGTGCAAGCAGGAAAATGTCAATACACACTCCTAAGATGCTAGTGTGAGAACCTCGTACTGACAGGTATACACCTGATATTGACTCTTTTGGCTATGAGTCAACCTTTAATTAAAAGACAATGAAGATGAAACCATTTTTGGCCAAGAGCTTATAATAAAAGTGAGCTTTTACTTAAATAGCTTCATGTTGCTTTTTTCCTGTTTGTTTAGGTTTTCAGATACGTTGACATTATCCTCAGAGGACGCCCTTACCCTGAAGGTGACATACACAGCCAGTGGGCTGAAGGACTGTCTCCATTCCATTGTGCAGGCTGCAGCCCACAGGGAAGTGAGGGCTGCTGTCACGAGGATGAGTTTTTATTTTCTGAACGACAGATTGTCTCTAAAGGGTGGCACTGGCCCGTGTGGCGCTACCTTGCAGTCCTTGGCTTGGCACACCGCACTGAACAGGTCAGTGTAAGCGCACGTCTGCCAGCTTCAAAGACCCGGATGCGATTGTGTTTGGGCTCGTCTCCACACTTTTGACGATCAGAGCGTGTGTTCTTCCTGGTGATATCGTGGGAGAAATGTTTTTATAGAAGGAAAAACCCCACGATTTTTATTACCTGTGATAAATATCTAATAACAAAAGAGAACAATTTTAACTTAATCACTGCATTTTGGAAGGACTTATTAATAAACATAAGATTTTTAAATATCCTACCATAGAAACTTTTATCTTATGAAGGTAAATGACTAGTATAAGACATGCATGAGCAAACGGAATGTTGATTTTTGTCCGTGTTACAAACGACCCGGGACAGCAGTGGGTTGGCTGGCAGGCTTGGTGCACCTGCAGCAGCCTTGTTGGTTTGCTTTTGTTTTGTTGTGTAAGTAAATTATCTCGTTTTTGTTTTTACTGAGTTTCATGAGGTTAATCGCCATGTGGAGGTCCGCTAGTAGCTACTGGAAAGTCTCCAGCTTGTGATACCTGGCAGCAGAGAGCAGGAGCATTTGAAACAAAAAAGACTGACGGCGCTTGGCAGCAGTGTGACATTTTAGTCTGCATGTAACGCTAGTATAAAGTGTGTCACTTGCTTATTAAGCATAAAGTGTGCAGTTTTCAAAATGTGAGGTTAAATGAGTTTCCATAATGTCAACTCGTTGATTTAGGTTAGTTCTCATAATTCAGATGCCTGACTTTGGCTTTTCCAGTGGTGGGCTGGAGCCAGCCAACGGAGAGCTGATGGTTCAGTTGTCAGGAATTTTGGAAGTTAGTTGGTTTACACAGAGCCAGTCTTTAAAATTAAATTATGTGAACTTACAATTAAATGATATGAAAATAAAAGTAATGATTATGCAAACATTATTACTTCCTAATTATTTTACAACATTTTCCTACTCTCTGTACTCTTGCGGTTATTTATAATATATCTATTATATAGCTGTGTTGTCGAAATGCTATGTAACGGTTTGCTACTGTGCGTATCTCCACAGCTCTGTGTCGCACTGGGGCTTGCAGTTGGCCATGGGGGATCTTTACACTATGGGAATTGGCACCCCACTCCTTAGGTGCTTGTTAAATATTTATCAACATACCATTCTACAAGCTAGAAACCATAATTGTTGTCGTTTTATTGTAGGTTTTTACAAGTGCTTCCCGCTTGCACTGAGGATGAGAAACTGCTAATAGATATCATACATTTTTTAAATAAGTTATTGAAAGAACAAAGAAAAAATTCATCCGTGGAACTTCTAACCTGGCTTCTAGAACTACTTCTTAGACATGTAAGTGTTGTTAAGGGATTTGGATTTTAGGTTTGACGAGAGGTTTATTTGAAAATCATGACTACTACATTACGGAAAAGTATCCTTTTTATGTAGCCTGTGCTTAGTCAAGTCGCCCTCGTGTTGTAAGACGTAGCTCCCAGCAACACGGCCTTCTTGATGAGAGCGTGACTAGATTTATTACGCTAAAAATCTGCAGAATGAATGGGACCGTCTGTCTTGTGTAACAAAACCTATGTGTGGGTTTTCTGCAACTGTGTTTTTCAGTGGGGATCTTGGGGTCAGGGAAGTGCAGGCGGGAGTGTGGCCAGGAGGGGAGCAAGGCCGCTGGAGGAGTGAGGGGCATGTGATGGGGACGCGGGAGGGAGAGCCCCATGGGCTCGGGTGGCCCTGCCAGTGCTCTGTAGTGTCCCGTCCAGCGCCCACGCTCTCAACCGTTTTAGCTGCCTGTGTTCTAAGAAAATTGCCAAGAAGCTAGCTCACTCTCTACTGTTGGTCTATGGTGGTGTTTTTTTTCATGAATACCATCTGAATTTACTTATTCTGGCAATGATAAACCTTTGTACAAATAATCATGAAAAAACACAGCCTGAGCACTAAAATATTATTAAAATATTATTAAAAGAATCTCTATGAAGCTTTTCCTAAAGAAAATCAGGTAACTTACTGAGGGAAGATTTAGGAACTTTCTGTTATAAAAGTTTTCTTCATGTGTTTTACCAAAACATTCGTTTATTACAAACATTTTAATTCTCAGGCATTTTGGGAATTTGTTGTACCACTAATCTATGTTTTAATTAATGATATTTTGTTTATATGTAGAATAATCTAGAAGTAGTGAATTTGAGTACTTTTTTGACAGAATGTTTTTTTGATGGAAGTTCATAAGAGTGGGACCGTAACTTTTTTGGGGGGATGCTATTCCGAACAACACTGTGTCTGTCCCTTTTCTGGCCGCCTTTCCCGGGCACATGCGCACACACAGTCCATGGCGGGTGTTGCACACCCCCTGTTTTAGGTTGCTGGTGGTTGAGAGGAGAGGTGCCTGTGTGCATGAAGAAAATGAGACCTCAACTACAGAAATGGATGCCTTTTGGAGGTCAGCAGTAACAAAATAGTGGGCCACGTAGTTGGCTTAAAATTAGGACTGGATACCAAGGTCTGAAGACAAAACCTTCAGGCATGATTAAGCACTTGAGATTATTAGCCATCAGCAGAGATATCTGTTCCACTCGCTACTGTACTTGAGGAACTGCAATTCACCCCGTATTTTAGAAATGGTGTTGCTGCTGTTCCTCATGTTAATTAACATGTTATCAAGGGGACACATCTCAGCAATTTACAAGCAGAAACAAGTTATGACTAGAATGAGATTCTTTGGAGGAATCTTAATTTTAGGTGCATACATACTGTATCAGTATATTCATATAGGAATCAGTAGCTTCTACTTAATTTTTATCTGTGTATCAGAATGAATGCTTCTGGGTGGTACAATGATATTTTACCAAGGTAGGGTTTGCATTAAAAGCAGCTTACTCATCCTGTCAGTGTTATGGGAGTTGGAGGGAGTGTGGGTGTCAGTCAGCTTTTAGCTATGTGAGGCTAAGAATACTATAGAATATAAATTTTCGTGATTTTATTAAGTGTATATGTTGATTGTTTCATTCATATATGAAACATGGAAGTTGTAGCTGTGTTTCATGTAATTTTACTTGATCCAAATGAGGCAGTTCTTGTTCAAGATGATAGGAAAAGCTGGAAAAACAAAGCTGCTTATGTGTGAAACATAATGTAAGCTAAAAGCAAAGCATCTCTCCCCAGTACTTCCCAAAGGCTCTCAAATATATTATTTGTAATCGTGTGTGCCTGATTGAAGTATACGCTGCATACTACATAGTAATGTAAACAATTTTGAATTTTCTTCCCATTTTTTTCATTTCTTTTCCTGAAAGAGAATGGGGTTATTGAATTGAGTTCTTTAGGTGAAGGATTTTGTAACAACAGTAATAAAATTTTGACTTTATCTCTCTCTATATATTGTAATGTGTACTATTGTGACATAATGCTGGGGACAGAATATTAACTAGGTTTGAAGTAAAATGGTTCTGAGATTAAATCCTTGCTCTGCTCATTGTTATGACTTTGGACAAATTACTTAACCTTTTTATAAACCTTGATTTGCCCATGTGTAAAATAAGAAAATGCAAATCTTCTAATTTAATCTAAAAGTTAAATGAAATATTTTCTTTCTCTTTTTACCACACTGCCTGTGCCATTGTAGATGGTTAATAAATATTTCGTGTGTCAGGTGATTCTGGGGGTTAATTAATATTTTCTATTCTCAATATTATTAGAAATAATCATACTACATTTCTTTTTTTTTTTGGGGAGATGGGAACAGTGCTGGGGAATTGGGGGAAGGGGAACAGACAAGTTGCTGTCGTTTTGTTCTTCAATCTAGTTGTGGAGGATGCTTCACTAGCCCAAGTTGGCACCATCATTGCGCTCTTCCCTGGCGAGGCAGATCAGTCACCGGCTTCTGGACGGCCGCTCATACTACATTTCTTTAGCTACGTTTTTAAAAATGGAAAACAGGAAAAATTTTAAGTAGCGTTAGTTTGATTTGTATTTCAGTCTATCAAGTTGGTGAAGACTACGAGTCATAATCCTCAGCCTCGGCTGGATGCTGTGGGCCTTGTCACACCCTGCTTAGCTGTGTATCAGTGCACGTTTGGCAGGGACAGTGTACGTCGGCAGCGTTGAACTGTTAGTGTTTCGATGTAGTAATTTCATGGCTCAGAAGGTACACAGGACCTAGTCGGAGTTGAGGGCACTGCTGTAGCTCGGTGAGATCGGAAGTCACTGATTACCCAGCGGCTGGTGTCATGGCTGCACAGCAATCAGATACGAAAATGTTTCTGAAGGACTGACTACTGATAGTATCTTTAATTAAAAAATGGTTATAGTAGATTTCTTTCACTAGATCTCAGTTTTGTTAAAAATATAGAATTACAATCCTGTTTATTTATTCTCACACACACAGAAAGCGGGGTGCGTACCAGGCTACTGAAAGCACATCTTGGGGAGGTACGATTACGGCTGGTTTTGTTTTCTCGTTATGCTCTCTGTGTTTTCCTTCGTTTTCTGTGTTTTCCTTTGTTTTCTGTACCAGAAATGCTTCCTTTTGTTGAGGTGACATAGGAAGCACCTTTTGAGTTTACAGCTCTACATTCATGCAGTAGAAACCCACACCCACTAGTTAGGTAATAAAACTGAGCTAATCCAGACCACAATTAGCAATAAAAACCTGTGTAGGAAACAACACATAGCTCAATGAGAGAGTAAATATGTATTTTTTACCAATTTCACTTCTGTAGAGTCCAAACCCACTGTTAGACCTGCTGGTTCTGACGGAGTCTCAGGCACGAGAGGAGGCAGATGACATCCGGACCGCTGTCAGGCAGCAGCTGCAGAAAGAACTGATTGCGCTTTTCAACACCTTGCTGCTCAGTTTCACGGCGGTTACTGACAGGTACGCTTGTGACAGTGAAGGTTCGGGACATCGACATAGACCTGAGTTTCCATTTCCAAAGAGTTTTACTTCTCAGTTGCTTCAAATTAAGAGAGGAAAGACTTGGATACTAATCAGTGTGGGGGTCTGTCTCTGACGTGGCCTGCCTGCTGTTTCACACACAGGACATTGTGTTCTCTAGGCTTCAGTTCTTGGTCCTCTCTTAACACATCTACCTGAGCAGTCATATCCATTTTAAACAAACTAACGTGTCAAAACAGCCCTGATTCAGCTCAACACCTGATTAGATCCAGAAGATCAGCCCCTAACCCAAGTCTTAGGATCAAAGGGCAGCTATTTCTATGAGAAATGATTATGTACTCCACTCTCAGTAGCTCTTTTATACAAATGTTTGATGTACTATCACAAATGAAGAGAATTGTGAAGCAGGAGCATGTCTCCCATAATTAAGAGAAACAAGTCACTAGAAATAGATCCACAGATGTCAAATATGAGAACTTTAAAACTACTATTATAAATAATGATATTTTAAATAATAAATATAANCACCCACTAGTTAGGTAATAAAACTGAGCTAATCCAGACCACAATTAGCAATAAAAACCTGTGTAGGAAACAACACATAGCTCAATGAGAGAGTAAATATGTATTTTTTACCAATTTCACTTCTGTAGAGTCCAAACCCACTGTTAGACCTGCTGGTTCTGACGGAGTCTCAGGCACGAGAGGAGGCAGATGACATCCGGACCGCTGTCAGGCAGCAGCTGCAGAAAGAACTGATTGCGCTTTTCAACACCTTGCTGCTCAGTTTCACGGCGGTTACTGACAGGTACGCTTGTGACAGTGAAGGTTCGGGACATCGACATAGACCTGAGTTTCCATTTCCAAAGAGTTTTACTTCTCAGTTGCTTCAAATTAAGAGAGGAAAGACTTGGATACTAATCAGTGTGGGGGTCTGTCTCTGACGTGGCCTGCCTGCTGTTTCACACACAGGACATTGTGTTCTCTAGGCTTCAGTTCTTGGTCCTCTCTTAACACATCTACCTGAGCAGTCATATCCATTTTAAACAAACTAACGTGTCAAAACAGCCCTGATTCAGCTCAACACCTGATTAGATCCAGAAGATCAGCCCCTAACCCAAGTCTTAGGATCAAAGGGCAGCTATTTCTATGAGAAATGATTATGTACTCCACTCTCAGTAGCTCTTTTATACAAATGTTTGATGTACTATCACAAATGAAGAGAATTGTGAAGCAGGAACATGTCTCCCATAATTAAGAGAAACAAGTCACTAGAAATAGATCCACAGATGTCAAATATGAGAACTTTAAAACTACTATTATAAATAATGATATTTTAAATAATAAATATAATAGATATTAGAGGGCAAGATGGACAGGATTAATAAAAATATGGAGGATAGCAGCAGAGAAATAGAGACTGCAAAAAAGAACTAAATGCAAATTGTACAACTGAGAGATCTAATTTGTAAAGTAAATAATTCATCGCATCAGCTGAACAGCAGAATAGACACAGTGAAAGAGGATTAGTGCATTTAGAACACAAGTCAGTACAAATTTCACTAGAGAGGCACACGTGGGAGCGCCCTGAGGTGCTGAGAACGTTTCATATCGTTATGCTTGCTGGTTACATGATTACATACATGTGTAAACCGTCATGTAGTGTGCACATAAAATGTGTGAATTCACTGCATGCAAATTATGCCTCAATACAGTGCTGAAGACAAGAGCAAAGTGAATCCAAGGATGGTAGCGTCTGTGCATCTGGACCTAGAATGTGTAAGCTCTCCTCGGGGACTTGTTAAAATATTAGCATCAGTAGCTCAGGAATCTGCATATTAAATAAGCATTACAGGTGGTTGTTGGACTAGACTTTGAGAAATGATGGTGTGGATTGTTCTTAGGTGAGTTTTGATGTCAGGGAAAGGAAAGTGTGAGCCACCTTCTTTTGTGTGTTGGCTGAGGGCAGGTTAGGATTTTTGTTTGTTTTAGGATGGAAGATACTCATGTATGCGTATTGATTGTTGGTCATGTGCCTATTGTAAGGGGGAATTAGAGGAAAAAGAGGTGGAGGGGAGAAGAGACAGGTAGGTAGATAAGTAGAGAGGGAGCACAAATGGGGGCGGGAAGAGACGTGTACTGAGGAGAGACGGAACTGAGCAGCGTATTGGAGAGGAGTGTGGGCTGCAGAGACAATGTGGGATAAGATGGGTCAGTATGTTGGCTGGGAGCAGGATGTTGAGGGAGGTAACTTCTGATAATTCAATTTTTCTCTGTGAAATGGAAGGCAAGGCCATTTGCCAAGAGGGGACCTTGCATGGGGATGAAGACAGACAAGTTGGTTGTGGAGCTTGGGGAAGGTTTGCAGGGACCGAGAGCAGGAACTCGTTACAGATATGTCA